GGCGAGGCAGATCAGTCGCCGGCTTCTGGACGGCCGCTCACGCTGGCTGCCAGCTACACACGGTAGCCCATGGCAACCCACTGCAGCAGGGGCTGCAGGCTATGCTGTTGCCGGTGACTCATGGGCAACCCAGCTCCAGGTTGAGCTGTTGTTCAGCATCTTAGCTGTAGAGGACAGTGTCCCTGGCTTTCATATGTGTGATCCGAACCGGGGCCCTCTGGCATCCCAAGCCAGCTCTTAACCAAGGCGCCACTCTGCCGGTCCCTTTCTGAAGTTTTTAACAAGTACCTCAGTCTATAGTAACCCTTCCCTTCCCCAGAGTCAGCAATTGTCTTGAATACTTACCAGACAATTACTGCATGTTTTATATCTTCCCTAGTGGATTGATTGTAAGTTCCCTCAGGTTAGGGGCATATCTGCTTCACAGATACTAATAATTTGTACATCTTAAGACCTTTGGTCCACTCTTTTATACGTAGTAATTTGTACATATGTATGTTTGATAATGAAATTAGAAGTTTGTATGTATATTAACCGTTCGATTAAACAGTCATAGACTCAAGATGCAGGTATTTGTTGAAATGTAGACACTGTGAACTACATATAAACTAGATGATGCAACCAAAACCACATAAAACATCCAAATGACTTCATTCTGTTATAAGTGACCAGAGTACTAGCATTACAACCTTGCCCTGCATACTTTCTTTTGGGGTGGCCTGGAGTCCTTGGCCTAGTTAGTTTCTTCCAGGCCTTTGTCCTAAGCAGGTCTCTGTATCCCTATCTTATTTTGATGCCAGTGCATCTCCATTATATGAATAATATATGCACGTCGTAAAATATTCATGTAGCATATAATAGAACAGATTGAAACGTAAATATTAATTTCCTCCCACACCTCCATCCTTAATTCTAGGTCTCCGCCTCCCAAAATATAACCACTTACACAGCCTTCTGGGAATATTTTGTGTATATTCCAACATACATGAAGTCTTTTTTTTGTTTTTTTTTCTTTTAAAGATTTTATTGGGGAATTGGGAGAGGTAACAGCGTTGCGGAATCAGGGAAGGGGAACGGACAAGTTGCTGTCCTTTTTGTTCTTCAGTCTAGTTGTGGAGAATGTTCCTTCACTGGCCCATGTTAGTATCATTGCGTTCTTCCTGGGTGAGGCAGATCAGTCGCTGGCTTCTGGATGGCCACTTACGGCGGCTCTTGGCAGCTCACGCTGGCTGCTGGCCATACACGGTAGCTTATGGCAGCCCACTGCAGCAGGGGCTGCAGCCTACGCTGTCGCTGGTGACTTGCGGCAGCCCAGCTCCCGGTCGAGCTGTTGTTCAGCATCTTAGCTGTANAGCGAGCTCTTAACCAACTGAGCCACTCGGCCGGCCCTTTATGACACTTTTAAAGTTCAAACTTTTAATAGTTTTTGTCACAAGTTTTTAAGGTTTTGCTTCTCTGCCTAAAGAGTAGTAGATGAAATTTTACTCATATGCTATGTTTAAGTTCAAAAAGTATTTCTGTATACCTCTTATCTGTCAGATAATCTAAAAAAACAACTCACATGTATTATTTCATTTTCCATAATTCAGAGGAATAAGTCAGGACAAATGCCTAGGACAAAAAAAATCTTAAACCCACTTTTATTCCAGTGTTATCTTTCTAATTGCCTAACGTATTGTGTTTGTAGTCATGTTCCTTCTTCAGTTCCAATGCTGTGCCCCTAAGAGTTACAATGGTCAATGCTGATCCAATGGGGGAAGAAATCAATGTCATGTTTAAGGTGAGCAAAATAAGGCTACTTTGTTTTTAAATGAAAGTTTAATTCTTTTCTCAAATTGCTTTTCCAAAATTGCTGAAATAATTTTGTTTATTTAATGTTTAACTAGATTTAATCATTATGTGAAAGGTTATCACTGACATAAACTGTTTCCAGACAGATTTGGTTATAAAGCAACTCTGAGCTAGAGCTGCTGCTTTGCTGATTGAGTACATCATAACTCCGGGCAGTGCCTTTCACACAGACTGTGATGTGAATGTCACCCCCTTAGAGTTGTGCAGTGCAGAACTGCCAAACCATGAGCAGTGGTGCTGGTTTGTGGAAATTACTTACTGTGAGAAGCAGCTGGAGGGGTGTACTGCAGAGTAATCTATTATCAAAGTTGTGTGCATTGTGATCATAATTAATGTATTTTGAATAAAGAATGGAGAGTTTTAGCTAGTTCAATGAGTTTGATTAGTGGAGGTTCATAAAGATAGCTTCTCTTGAACCACCTTTTATATATATAGCAACTTTCCATATACTTGGATCTGGTTTTGGACTCTATTTTACTGATGTATTTGCCTTTTCCTAAAATATAGGACCATCTGTTTAAATACAGAAATTTTATACATTAAGTTTTAATGTTTCTTAAGGTAAATCCCCCTTATTTTTTTCATCATTTTCTTGGCTACTCTCAAAAATGTATTCATCATTATGTGTTTTTAAGTTATTGTATCCAATTTAAAAAAGAAAATGAAAACTTGATGTGATTTCAGTTAGAATTAATTTATTTTGGGAGGGTTCAGGAGGGTTCATTATAAGAAATTATAGGGCTGCTGGATGGCTCATTGGGCTAGAGCATGTGCTCATAACAAGAGTTGCCGGTTCAACTCCCACATGGGATGGTGGGCCCCCTTCAACTAGAGTGAACACAGCACCTTGAGCTGAGCCGCCAGTGGGCGGCCAGATGGCTCAGTTGGTTAGAGCACGTGCTCTGAACAACAAAATTGCCATTTCTGTTCCCACATCGGATGGTTGGTTGCACCCCCTACAACTAGATTGAAAACGGCAACTGTACAGTTCAGGAAACAGATGTGAAGAGGTTAAGTAACTTTTTCTAGAATGCTGCAGAAAAATTAAAAGGTAGTTCTGTTAATATGATTCTGCACTCTTTTCCCTGTTGCCCCTTCCCCCTATATATTGTAGCATGTAATCTATTAAGTCTTTTGGAAAGGTGTAAGTTTCATTTTGTTTCCTTGATTTCAAGGTTGGTGAAGATCTTCGGCAAGATATGTTAGCTTTACAGATGATAAAGATTATGGACAAGATCTGGCTTAAAGAAGGACTAGATCTGAGGATGGTAATTTTCAAATGTCTCTCAACTGGCAGAGATCGCGGTAAATCAGTGTCTTGGTGTCCTTTTTTGGGGTGTGGGGGACTTAGCGTATACTTGCCCTAAGAGTCCTGATGCTGGTACACTATGATCTCAGTTGTTTCTAACTTTAATTTAGTTTTGCTTTATTGATTCATTTGCTCATGATTAAATAACTCAATAAGTAACCCTAATAAATGCTTTGCAGTAACCAGAGTTACCCATTAATTGACCCAATGATGACTTTATGGTCTTTAACTTTTGAGTTAAAATTAAGGTCATCTCTAAGTTAAACCAACTTTGATTTCATCTGTAAAGTAAAATAATGGTTAAAAAGCTTTTTTCTATTAAGAACTTCATCTCATTATTTATTGAATAAGTTTTTTGTCCTTACAACATGTTAAGTGTGAATAATAGTAATATTACACTTATAGAAATATTGTGATAATTAAATGAGATAATGAAGGTAAAACACTCCAGTACCTGATACATATTAGATGCTCAATAAATTGCAACCATTATCATTATTCTTATTCAACAAATGTTGGTTGCATATCCGCCATCTGCAAAATGCAAATAACATGTAGTGCTGATATTTTAGAGGAGAGCAATTGAAGACATACACAAATAATTAGAAAATGCTTTAGTAAGCTAAAAGCTCTAAGAGAATTACAAAGGCAGTGCTGTGGGGGTTTAAAGGAGAGAAAGATCACCTATGGTTGGTGGAAATGAGAAATGCTTCACAGGTTCTAATCGTAGACATTAGGAAGTCACCTGAAAGATGATCTTATTTAATCATCCTTCTAATATTTACCATTCGGTTTATGCTTAAATGCCTCTAACGAAGGGAATTTGCTTCATTTCAAGTCCATTCTGTCCTGGATAGCTCTGATAGCTGTTGAGTTCTTTCTGATATTTCAGAAGAATGGAAACTGACTCTTGGTGTCTTCTAACCATCAGTTCCAGTTGTTCATAGACTGATATAGTTAAGTCAAACCCTTCTTCATGGTGACCAATATTGTGGTCTCATACCCCAAGTTCCATATTGTTCAGCGATTTGTCATATGTAACTTTAAATTACCTTATCACCCGATTGTTTTCACTCTAAAGGGCTCAAATGATTCAGTCTGTAAGAATGGTACCTGGATTTTGTAGACTGCAGAAGGGTGGGCAGAGTGTAACACATGTGGAGCTTATTAACAAATAAAACCATCGTGCTAGCTCCTGTTAAACCATGTCTTGGCCATTCTGCTCTTGTACATTTTGAATCTTAGACTCAAGCATAGGACCATAGCTGTTAACTTTCTTGTTATATTTGATCCATTACTTTTCAGCCTGTTGGGTTCTTTGTAAAGTCTGGCTCTTGTTATCTGTTGTCAAACCTCATTGTTTGTGTCATGAGCCAATTTGAAGAACATATATTCTGTAGCTTTTGCTAAGACATTGAAAAACATGTTTATTAAAAGGGCCAAGCACCAACCAACCCTTCTTGCCTTCACTAGCTCCCTTCACGTAACTTAAATCCTTGGGTATTGTATTTTACTTGGTTACTCATTTACTTCATTGTGTCATCAATCACTCCACATTTCTCCATTTTAATCCCTCAGGGCAACATGAGAGCCTTATGACTTGTTTCCTCAGGTTAGAATGTACAAACTTTATCTTGTCAGAAAGGAAAGTTGGTCAATGTAAGAATTCTTGGTGGTTGTTTTTATATAAGTCTTGTAAGAGGGAAGTTGTTTTATCAAGTAAGATTTATCAACAATAGCTTACCATCCCATTTGATTGGTTTTTCTGTTACACATTTATTTTATATAAACTGAACGTCTGTTTCTTCTTATGGAATCCCATGTAACTTTGGAGGTGATCAGATTGCTCTTGTTTTTTATGTTGTTTGTAATTAATAACTGAGTGCTTATTTTGTGCTTTGCCCTATGCTAAACTTTTTACTTGTGTTATCTTGCTGTATCCTTTTTCCAATGAAGAAATCACATCCACATCCTTTCGGAAGTTTTTGGGTTTTTTTAAAAAGATTTTTATTACGGAATTGGGGGATGGGAACAGTGCTGGGGAATTGGGGGAAGAGGAACAGACATGTTGCTGTCGTTTTGTTCTTCAGTCTATTTGTGGAGGACATTGCTTCACTGGCCCAAGTTGGCACCATCATTGCACTCTTCCCGGGCGAGGCAGATCAGTCGCCGGCTTCTGGACGGCCGCTCAC